ACGCCCTGGTCTGCATCCCCGCATAGTTTCAAGTTTTCTACAACTGTGGTAATCAGCTGCAGATGTAGCCAGCATATTAAGCCATGTTTGGAGATGGCTTGATATAACTGAGCTGTTCCAAAACCAGATAAGCAGAGGCTTCCTAGTTTAATCAGTGCTTGAATCTCAGGGAGAAAAGATGTAATTGTGTACTTAGGCTCTCAAATCTCAATAAGCTGGTATGCAATCACACTTTGTGTTGTCAATTGTATTGGCCACCTTTGGATATCTTGGGCTATTTCAAAGTATTGGTACTGACCCATAAACTATTTGATGATTAGTATGTTGTGAGCCAGTGTGGCACAGTGGTTTGAGCACTGGACTATAACTATGGAGGCCAGGATTCAAATCCCAGCTTAGCCATGTAAACCCACTGCGTGATCTTGGGCAAGTCACACTTGCTCAGCCTCAGAGGATGGCAAATGGCAAACCTCCTCTGAACAAGAAAACTTTGTGATAGGTTTGCCTTAGGGTCACCATAAGTTGGAAATGACTTGAAGACAAAGGACACAAACATATGATAAAAGAAACTAATTAAAACACGAAAACCACATTTAAAAACAGGATAGTTAGCATAACTTAAATTGATATCAATGGAAGTTCCTTCCATGTAAACAGTGAAGTTCAATGCCTTTGAATAAAACTTGCAATGTATGGGAGAAATAAAATATTTTCAATTTATAAGATGTTAGAAATCAAGGCCCAAATCCTGTTAGTCCTGACTAGAGTAAACCCATTGAATCAATGAGATTTGGCAATGTGTTGATTCACCATTCAACAATTGAATGAAGGGTCTACTTTAGTTGGGACTAACTAACAAGATGTCAGCCCAATTCAATATTTTTTTCATTAAAGGGTACAGCAAGCTTTACTCATAGAAAGTAAACCTTTCTAAATTCCAAACAAGCATGGCTCAGATGCCAGAAATAGTGACATAAACCAGTAGAAAACAGCAACGTTAACCATAAAATTAAGCATGTTTTGACAAGGTTATTGGTCAAGGAAATAATCCCCTAAGAATATATAAAGCATATCCATATGTTTGTACACACATACACACAGATGAAAACATAAACCACACCTGACAGGTAAGAATCTTCAAAGTGTTCCAATGCAAGTAAATCCAAAATTGCAAAGACAATGCATATTTCTTGCACTATCCATAACCCTGTCTATGGAATAAACAGCACATGGAAACATGAAGCTATTGCAAGAAGTGTGACTGTACATATTCCTTCCTGTGAAGAACCGAACAATGACATTGCAACAATTGTTTTTTTTTGGTTACCTTTATTGAAGAAGCAGCATAGAGCATATCCTCAAGTGTGAAATGGCAACATCGGTTCAAGTACTCCTGACAAAATTCTTGTATCAGTTGCAGATTATACAAACTGTCAGCCAAAGACATGGTTTCCTTCAAGCAAATATCTATAAAATGATGAAAAAGAGAATGTGGGTATTGGATTAATCTGACCCAACACCCCTCTCTGCAGTGTATTTTATATTTATTTTTAAAGCAGTCAGCCTTGACAGGAAAGAGAATATGAAACTCAAATTCTGACCCAATAGTTTAGTATGGAAGAAATCTCCTGTTTTAGAAGTTCAGAACTAAGCAAAGACTGCAAATCATTTTAATGCATAGCATGGATCATATGGCTTGCTGCACAAGCCCATTCTGGATTGTATTAGCCCAGTCATTCCAACCTTCCTCTAAAAGATATGAAAATACAATCGGCTCTCCACTTTTGTAGCCTTGACACTTGCGGTTTTGATTATTTGTGAGGTCAAGGCTGTCAGTGCCGGCATTCCTCTTCCTCCTCCTCCTTGAGAAAAAAAGCCCAGGAACCAACTTGTGTCCCTTTCCCACCCCGCCAGGCAGCAATTCGGCAGGGAAAGGGTCGTGGTGGATGGAGGCTCCTCCCCTTTCCTGGCTGTATTGCTGCCTCGGGAAAGCAGCAATCTGGCTGGGAAAGGAGCAGGGAGCTAGTTAAAGGGATGGGAAGGTGGGAAAAAACGAGCACGCACTCCTGCTCCTCTTCCCCCATCCACCCAACTCCTCCCTTTAATTGGTTTCTGCATGAGGGGGGGAGTTATTCACAGTTTTCCCACATTCGTGGGGGTCTTGTTCCCCTAACCCCAGTGAATGTGGACGTGAAACTGTAGATCTTTCAATATAACAAACTGTTACATAGTACAAAAAACGTGCAAAAATGTTACCCAGTACAACCGCCCCTGCCAGAAATTCTCAATACTCATTCTTATTAGATGTCTGTGTACTAGAATCATTTACACACAGTAAGAAGCCCAAAATGATGGCTTCACAAACCATGAAGTGTTTGAGATACATATTTGTACATCACTCTTTTCTTCATACAAACAGACTAATGAAATCAGAAGACAGTATCTTCATGACACATCCAAAGCCTAGGGTTATGGTTACGAACTCATAAACAAAACACCATTACAAACCAAGACTGAATTCTGGCTTAAAACTGCCTGCAGTCCTTGGCTTGTTTGGAGGTCAAATGAAGCTATCACACTGGTTTGCTAAACTGTTCATGTGAAAATAAAAATGAATATATACCACTGATCAACTTGCAGCTATTCACATTGGCATTTTAATAAGCCATAAATTTTGGCTTACCATTACACCAAATATAGTCACACTGGATATGTCTGGATATCATGATAAACCATCCAGATGAGAAGGAGCTGCAATGAAACTCTATCTTATGCATTCCTCTATACCTTTTCCTCCTCAAGTAGTAGTAAAGAACAGAAGCATTCACTTCTGTTTATGACTAGCTAACATTTAGCATTATGTCAGAAATGTGGTTAATCTTAATTATATTTTTTCTAGTTTCATGATTACTTCTTTTAAACAACAATGAACAAAAATGCATCAGGTTCAGATGAAATGATAAAAAAAAAAAGCAAAAATTCTCTACAAGGGGAGAGAAAAGTCTACAGAGTCCAAGTTCACTACTGTCAATTTCCCATCACGACAAGACATGGTTTATCATAATGTTTAAACACATTTACTAACTTATATATGTCCATTCTAGCGTTGACTTTTCTTAGTATATTAAAATTTTATACTCAAATGTTTTTATTAACTCATTGGTCCAACCAACCTGGTTGAGTCCCCACAGGTCAAGTAACACATTCTCTCCATCTTCATATTGACCAGTATGGACGATGCATGCCCCAATCCCTGGTTCTGGTGTAAATTATCTGGATGATGCATGGCCACTTGAGTACCGAACCTGTGCTATACCATCCTTAGCATGGATTATAAAAGTCACCTTTTGCTCTGAATCTTCCCAGAATGATGCTGAACAGATGTTTACAATGCATCCCACTGTGCCATCTGCCACTGGCGGCAGTACAAATTTCTCCCTCTGAGGTCAGAATGAGGGTCCCAGCCACATGATCAATGCTGGGTTCATTTTCAGCCTCAAAGGGCGCAACTTGTGCTTCCACCACCAGCAGATGGCACAAAGGGACACATTGTAAACAAGTGTCCCGCATTGCTCTGGAGTGCCCAGTTAATGGGGGGACTTTGAGGTAGCTTTGGAACTATAATACTCTGGGCTGCTCGTGAAATATTAGCAATAGCAAGTACATTTCTATACCGCTTATCAGTGCACTTAAGCACTCCCTAAGTGATTTACAATGTGTTAACCAACTGCCCCAACAAGCTGGGTATTTATTTTAGCGACCTTGGAAGGATGCAAGCCTGAGTCGAGCCTGAGCCCCTGGTTGGTACTGAACTTACACCCTTATGGTTTGTAAATGAGTGGCTGCAGTACAGGCATTTAACTACTGTGCCACTAAGGCTCTTTTTGGTCTGTTCAGTCCCTAATATATATGTATAAAATATTCTGGCCTGTGCAGATACAGCCCTGGTGTAGGCCATTATTCATGGGTTTGTAAGCAGTGTAAAGGAAATGGGGGGCTGAATGGTTGGGTTTGTGGTGAGGACAAAGGTAGCCATGCTTAGGTGGAGGGAGGCAGAGAGGCACCAGAGTGTTAACCACTTGAAATGAATGCCAGCTGTTCCACTACCAGTGTATACCTCTGTGCACCTGTTTGGAGAAGGAACCAACCAACTTCAGATTAGCTTAACATCCCAACAGGATTCTGGCCTGAAAATGCATGTTGAGGCTGAGTTCATCTCCGACACTCCTCCCTTGCCTTCCCCACATCACCCAACAGGTTTGGCACAATGATTCTGGATGCCAAGATCCCAAAAGAAGGAATTCTGTCTTAGCATTTTTAAGAAAACTAAGAAAATAAGCCAGAATGAATTAAAATAGACCATCACTCTCAAATCTTCAGAAAAGTTCCTTTTTTGGACTACAACTTCCAGAGTCCTCTAGCCACCTAGGTCTCTGATTATTCTCTGATAAGCAATGGTATTATCATTAAGCAGATAGATTGTTCTCACCTTCCAACTGGACTATATCTGGGCAGTAAAAATGGATCAGGGCAGCTAAAGCACAGCCATCTGTACCGTCCTTCAAAAGATTTTCCACCAGTGGAATACAGGGCAGCTGCTTAAGAAGAGCTTGTTCCTTCCTGTATCGAGCCTGTCATGTAAAAAGAGGAGGGGAAGTCAAAACAGACACACATTCAGAAACATATGCAGGAACAGGTTTAAACTGCTTTCAAACCAGACATATTTCTTTTTTTATTTCTATATAGATTTAGACACAGAAGCAAAACATAGCTTCCTGTTAAAAAGGAAAACCCACTGCCAACTCCATTTGGAACTATGCCAGTTTTTAATCAGCCACACACAGAACTATATTTTAATTTCAACCAGTTGAATACAGGGTCTATTTTAATCAATATGGAACCAACAATCACACAGTACTGAAGAGAGTAAAGAACAACACCAAGCTTCCAAGGAACTAAGCTATGGGGAAAATAAGGAAAAATGGTTGTGACTCTCAACACCTACCATCTAAACTAAAGAAAAGTGACACTAATCCTTACCACCACTTGAGATAAACTACTGGTCATCTTCTTTTCATACTGTGAGTTCAGGAAACTTACTTGTTCATTATATATAATATAATTTACAATAGTAAATTTTGACAGATGTATCCAATTCTAGAGGAATGGCAGATTCCAACAGCAGAATTGATGTCTCCCCTTTCCAGTTCAGGCCATTTTGCATCCCCAAAATAAGCTTTAGAGAGTTGGGAAACCCTCTGGAGACTGTTTTTTTAGACAGGAGAAAGGGCTGCTGTGGGGAGAGAAGAAAGTTCTGTGGCAACCACTAGCAGATTGCTGGGCTTAACACAATGTTTCCTTTTATTTTTGAAAACACAACGTTTAATTCAAAATGAAAGTAG